CTGCACTTACCAAACGAAACACAGCAGCATTAAGCTACTATTTGACGCTGGTATTCTGTGAGAGCGTGGTCCTTCCCCGGTTGAGCCGACCCGTTCATGATACAACTATACTACTAAAATAACTGCAGCATGGCTCTACCACGTGAAAAAAATAGTAAAAACTATTACATATGTAAATAACGGTTTTTATATAATTTATATAAAATACATACCTATTTTCAGAGCTCAGATGTTAAATAGTAATTGATGATGCACTACCTTCAAAAACATTTAAATTTCGTAGGTATTTCTATTCATCTGAAAAATTTCATTTTTTTAGCTACTGAAATTGGGCTATCAAACGCTTACTTATGCCTCTATTGCAATACTTTCTATTTTTATTGAACCTGTATAAAATTCTTCTACTTCCTACTTATTCTCCTACTTCTATCAAAAATGGTTTCATAATAATTGAACATGCGGTAGCGCGTTGTTTTAAGACAGAACCACGGGCCCTAATAATTACCTCGATAAAAAAATTATAAGACGGCACTAAAACGCTATTTAATCATTTACCACTTTGTCAGTGCTTGACTACTATCCCAGGCAAAGATTGTAAAATGCACTGACTTAACAAAAGCCACATTCACAATGTATTCTTAAGTTAAGTAGTGTAACCGCGTGGAAGTTATAACATTTTTTTTACAAATTACTTTTATTTTTTATCTTGTGAAAAGAAAACAACTTCGAACAGTTCAGAACAAAATGGGCAAGTTCCTACCGAGGTATCTTTGAGGTTTGCTGTCTGTTGTTTTTGCTAATAATATTATTCCCACTTTAATACTGTTTAGACCAAATTGTAACAACTTAAAACTTGCAAAAACGCTCGTCTCGGGCGAAAACCAGTTTGACAGCTTGCGCCGAGGGCATTCGTTTTGCGTTCTGCGGCCGCGCCAATTAGTCTAGAATAATCTTTTGTCCGCGACGGCCGTGTCGGTTAGATGACGGGAAGTTAAGTTAGACTCTTTAGGTCGCGTGGAGACTGCCTCCTTTGTGTTGCCTTATTTGTTCGTATACGTGAAAACGAGGCTTTCCTTGAGTTTTGAGTGATTAATTTAACTTCAATTGCCATTGAAGACGATTATCAAAATAGCTAGCAAAAAATTGAAGAAGCTTCGGAGTAAGACCCTACTTAGCTAGCTTCTGTAACCGTATGTCATTACTCACCAGATCAAAAGCTTTACTAAAGTCGTTATTTGTTCGTATACGTGACAACGAGGCTTTCATTGAGTTTTGAGTGATTAATTTAACTTCGATTGCCATTAATTTGCGTCGACGAGTTGCTTGTGTGGTATGTTAATATCGTACGAAGGAAGTTTTGCTTTGTCGGGTGGAACACTAAACTTTGTGATCCGGGAGGAGATCGCGTTTCTCCGATTATAGTTTTGTGCTGAGTGACGTTAGACTTGAGTTCAGATAACAGTGAACGCCAACTGGAGTGATTGCGTCTTGTGGAGCAGGACAACGCATGTGGTTCTGTTGGCCGATTACATCGGTGACGTCAGTTTACATTACACACCTTCCTACACCGTTCACACCTAACATTTACTTGCCCCTGACGGTACCTTGTGGTCGACCCTACTCCGGAACTCGGTAAGTTTGTGTTTGTTTATCCAGCCATTACATAATAATTATTCATAGGCCATTTGGGCCCGAACCCTCGGGTTGCCCGTCGAGTTGGGTTACTATGGGCCTTAGCCCAGTCGACTTCTGTCGGGGCAACTCAGGGCCATAAAATTTTCTGGTAGCAGAGCGTGGTTGATTGTTTCTCCAATCACGCCCAGCTGTAATATAATATTTTTTTTGTTTTGTTAGCGGATCGGTGGTTAGAATCACGCCCGTTAGGCTGCGCAAGCAGGAGTGTAGTTTAGGGTTAGGTACCTACACGTCAGGTATTTCGGGTAAGTAGATTAAATTGCCGAAGGTTCGGTCTCCTGAGCGGGGCATCTTTGCTGACCAACTGTAGTGTGTACTTGCAGTGTAGTGTAATTGTATTTAATTTAATTTAATAGTAATTTGTATTTAGTAGTGATGCCACTGCACAAGCCACCGGCGCTTCGCCTACAGGCGGAGCTGCGCTGGGCCGCAAATGCCCATACCTTGATAGGGTGACCCGATCGGGTCCATAGTTTAGAGAAGCGGCTCCAGCAGGTCATGGCCCGAAGTACCGTACTACAGGAGGCTTGCACTGAGCTTTTGGCTTCGGATGCGGAACAGGTAGTCCTAGACTCCTGCCTCGCGGACTACGAGCAATTCTTTTCGCTCACGGACGACTTGATCGAGGCGGGGGCCAAGTATGCTTGTGATGCGTGTGAAGCTTGGCTGAGTGGCCTGCCCGAGCCCTCTCGGAAGCAGCCTACTCAGCTGGAGCTGTTGGAATGACTCCCAACTCTGGACCTGCCAAGGTTCTCCGGGGTCCACTCCGACTGGCTGACCTTTGTTGGCTTTTTTGTTAGCCTAGTGGATGCCCGGAGGGACTCGACACGCCAGACAAGCCAGAAGATGGCGTACCTCCTTGCCTTACTGAAGAGGAGACCTTGGGCTTCGTCGGCTATTATAAATTGTCGGACGACGCCTACCAGGCCGCCCGGGACCTCCCCGCCGGAAGGTACGCCAACGTCCGGAAAATTGTAGACGAATACCTTAGGTAGCTTCTAAACATCCGCTGCTTAGGGACTGGGCCAGACCACGTCCGAACATCGTAAATTCAGTATCGGTAGCCTGTAATTCGTGGAGGTGGCTGGATTTACCGGTGGATGAATGTTTTTCTTGTTGCTCCACATCCTGCTGTCTCGCCTGCCTCTCTATCTTCGGATCCATTTTGAGGAGAGGTACGGCGGGGACGGCGCCTCCTATATTCCGCCCCTCAGGGACCTGCTGTGGTTCTCGAAGGAGCAGTGCCGGCAAATTGAGAACGCATCGGGCACCGTCGACGACCTACGGGCTGCCAACCGAGCCGTGCCCAGGGAGAGGCGGAATCCACCGGGCAAGTCGTCACCAACTCCCCTAAGACCGAGCGGAGCTACCATCTTATAGCGGCCTAGCGGCCAGGGAGGCGCCCCCCTGCTTCTATTGTCGAACATCCGATCACCGGGTGACGTTGTACCCGAAGTTATTGGGTAAGCCGGTCCTGGCGAGGCGAACCATCATCAAGGAGCGCCGCTGGTGCTACTCGTGCTTGGAAAGGCACCTCCAACGAAACTGCCCACACCAGCAGCCCTACCCGCACTGCCAGGGCAATCACCATGCCGTTTTGTGCCTAGGTGGCCACGACTGGAGTACCACCCTCCCCCTTATGGTCGGTACCGGTACTACGGGGTTTCTGCGACCTCAAATCTGTCCCGGGCCTCAAGTCCGAGGATCCGTGAAGCTTCCCAGGTCGGCCCGTTCGGTGATTTCCAACCACGGGTCATTGAGATGCCGCTGGAATGCCGCTTTCGGGACCCCCGGTTCGAGTGCCGGTCCGATGGAGGCAGCTCCAGCTAGGTCACTGATCCTTTGAGCCGTCAACAGTCTACTTGTCAAATTGTTCTATTGCTGACGGCCTCAGTGAAGGTGTACAACCCGAGTGGCGACTGTTTACCGGTTCGCACTCTATTGAATTCGGGTTCACAACGCAGTGTGGCCTCCACTTGGTTGGTGGGAAGACTAGGGCTCCCCTGGTGCTCTGAATCACGTCCAATGGTAGATATCGGAGGTGCCAAGCTTCCTGCTCCTAGGGGACAAGCGGAGTTGCTGTTTGGCCCTGCCAGCGAACACCTTCACATTCTAGTTAAAGTAAATGTCCTCGATGACATTGTAGGTTTTCTCTCTAACGTCCGTATAAATGACAGCGCGGTTCATTGTGCGTCGGGTTTAAGACCGGCAGACCCTCAATGGTCCCAACCTGGGCCTATAGATTAGTTTTTGGGAGCCGACACGCTGGGGTTCATCTTGTTAGGCAAGATACGAGCCCTACAGCCCGATGGTTTGTTAGCCATGTCCACGGTATTTGGGCACAGTTTCTTTGGACCGGTTCTGTGGTCTCCACCTCCTCGGACGTCGTCCAGCGGTCCTGAGAAATTGAGGAGCCACCACACGTGTCTCGAGTCAACCCTCTGGACCGTGAGTGCGAGTTATTCTACCAGAAAAATACCGGCCGTCGTGTCGACGGTCATTTTGTCACTCGCTTACCCTTTCTTGACTCACGGCCCCCTTTGGGCCAATCTCGTACCCTGGCCGAAAAGAGGTTGCTTTCCATATTAATCGCGAAAGGCTGGGTCGCGTTCATGCGAAATATGTCGAGTTCATGCGCGAGTATCAAGACCTGGGTCACATGTCACCGTCCAATTTCGACTGGCGGTCACAGGAGCACTACTTCCTCACCATGCGTTCTTGAGGACGCCTGGGAGTAAGATTCGGGTAGTTTTTGACGGCTCCGCTCCCTCGTCAAATGGTGTGTCCCTGAACCAGTGTCTACACTCTGGTCCTAAATTTATCAAGGACATATCCGACATTATGACCCACTTCCGTCAATTTCGACAATCAGTGGTCCATCGTGATGACCGTAGATATCAGCTGATATTGTGACGCGAGAAGCCCAGCAATCCGAAACACCTGTAGGGTTTGAGTTGAACACCACCACCTATGAACTCTGGTCTGTATATCGCCATGCGAACCCTCGTCAAACTCGCTGAGAGAGAGAGAGCGTCTAAAATACCCTCGGGTTGCTTCTATTTTGGAGACTTCGGTCTACATGGATGACATTTGCACGGGCGCCTCCACCGTCGAGGAGGCTCTTGTATTGCGAGACGAATTGATTGCCATCCTGAAGTCCGGAGGTTATGAGTTGCGCAAGTACTTGTCGAACTCCCCCCAAATTTTTAAGGACCTCCCAGGTGAGGATCAACAAGACCCTAATCCATTCGAGCACCCTGAAAATCCTAATTTGTTGACGTGCTGGGCATTCAATATCAGCCTGTTTAGGATACTTTCACGTATCGAATCAAACTCGATCCCCCTCCTAAATCATGGACCAAGCGCTCCGTGCTGTCTACAGTAGCCCACACCTTCGATCCTAATGGATGGACCACTCCAGTCATTTTTTTAGCTAAGTGTTTTCTCCAAAAGCTCTTAATATCCGGGTTGAGTTGGGACGACCCTATAAGCGGTGCTTTCTTGCGAGAATGGCACTCCATTATGTCCTCCGTTCCGGATATCAACCGGGACTCCATGCCAAGGTGCTTCCTCCCTCCAGGGAAATGCAGGGCTACCCTTATGGATTTTGCGACACCTCTGAGAAAGGCTATGCTGCTGTCGTATATTTGCGGACTGTGAGCTCTTCTGGCCATACTTCCGTCCATCTCGTACTTGCTAAAAGCTACTACTAGGTTGCTCCCATTAGGTCCCGCTTAACTATCTTTAAATTGGAACTGTCCTGAGCCGCTCTTCTCACGCGACTCCTCAACCACGTTCACTCGTTTTGTAAGTCTATAATCGACATTACGGACGTCTACGCTTGGTTGGACAGTGAGATAGTACTTTGTTGGCTCAGAGCTGCACCTCACAATCTTGAGCTCTTTGTGGTGAACCGCGTAAAATCCAGAATTCTGGCACGTCTCTAAGCTGGAGACATGTGTCAGGGGAGTTGAATTCAGCAGACTGCGCATCTCGCGGCTGTTAAGCCTCCTCTTTGGTTGACCACCCGCTGTGGTGGGGTCCCAGTTGGTTGACTGAGTCTCAGTCCTTCTGGCGCCAGAATAAATACTCCGAACCGATTGAATTGTCTGGCCTACGAGCCCGAGTAAGAGTGGGCAAGGATAAGCCCACTCGGGATTTCTCCCTGCTAGAACGGTACAGCCCTCTCGATAAGCTCTTAGGAGTGACTGCTTGGTTGCGTCGATTTGTTCGCAATTCGAGAGACCCGTCCAACCAAATCTCTGATTCCGTTTGTCCCCTAGCGAGCGTCGCGAAGCCTTGATGCATTGGACCCGTATGGTCCAAGCGGAGCATTTTGAGCCCGTGATTGAAACCTTGAAGCGGGGCTCCGTTGTCAAGGGCGCTCTGGCCCGCCTGAACCTCTTCCTGGACGACGCTGGGATGCTGCGCGTTGGCGGACGTTTGAAAAATTCTCAACTGCCGTATGGGGCTCGACACCCGTTACTGCTCCCTAAGGACGGCACCTTTTTTCAGTTGCTGGTAACTCACCATCATGTTCAGAATGCCCACGCTGGGTGTAACGCACTTTCGGCCATTTTGCAGCGGGAGTTTTGGATTTTGGCTGGCTGACGCACCATTCGGAGCGTCCTATGATGGGCGACTTACAACCCGACCGCGTCAGGTCCATCCGACCATTCGCTGGAGTCGGAACCGACTTTGCCGGCCCCTTCCTCGTCAAGTCCTCGTTCGGCACACCGCCTAAAACTTTACAAGGCGCAGGTTCGTCCGCACATGGAATACTGTTCCCATCTCTGGGCTGGGGCTCCCCAGTACCAGCTCCTTCCACTTGACCGCATCTAGTGCAGAGCGGCTCGAATCGTCGACGACCGAGTGCTTTCCGATTGGCTCGATTCATTCTCACTGCGAAGAGATGTTGCATTTCTTTGCATTTTCTGTCGCATATATCATGGAGAGTGCTCTGAGGAATTGTTCGGATTAATCCTAGTCACCAAATTTCGTGAACGCACTACGCGGCAAACATCCCTATACCATCCACACCAACTGGATGCTTGGCGGTCCACCACTGTACGTTTCAAGAGGAGTTTTCTTCCTCGTACAACCTCTCTGTGGAATAGTTTACCACCAGAGATTTTTCCGGACCGATACGACCTAGGGACCTTCAAGAAAAGAGCGAACTCCTTTCTAAAGGGCCGGCAACGCATCCGCAATTCCCCTGGTGTTGCAGTTAATCATGGGCGGCGGAAATTCAAGCGATCGTATTCGACCGCGCACACCCACAGCAATTTAAACCTTTAAAACTTATATTTAGAGACTACTTTTCTATGAAAAAGTTTGGCAATACAGAATAAATATAAAATATTCTATACTCTAGTGCAAAAAAAAACAGTTATACTATGGATATTTATTACATACGTTAATTTCGTACGCCATTTTCGCGTGAATGTTATTGTGTTAATTTTTGGATTTTTCTCGGATTTTATTAGTGTTTTAGTTTAGTGTTTTATTATAAAATTGTAATGAAAGTTTTTGTGTGGGTATAATTTATCTTTTTTACGTAAATAATTTCGAGTAATATATATTGAAATAATTGTGATTTTCACGCTGCCGACATTAGCTTGATATGTTTTGTTTTTATTATCAAAATATAATAGTGTTTTTGTAATGAAATAAAACCTGACTTTTATATAGAGAATTATGTATAGATTTTAAAATGCCAAACTTCTTCGTAGAAAAGTAGATTTATATATAAATTTTAATGTTTTTAAGTACTTTGGATGAGTGCGTTCGTATGAGACCGCTCGGGATTTAACGGACGCATGCGACTGCATTGCAATTTTAAGGGGACTGAAGGGTTATACATGTTTCATTAATACAAAGGTATATTTCAAAAATAAACACATATAAGTTACTTGATTATTTACTTCCAAAATATTTGAGAATTCGCATGATCTACGAAATACGAAAATTTTCTCGTGGTCTATGAACATGAACTCCTCTTCAGAACTGATGAAAATGGCCGCCTTTACAAAACTTTTTGTTTTCCATCAATAGCTTTTTTAATTTGTGATGGAAATTTTTGCAAGATTTTAACATTAGATAAATTTAGAAACTTGCAAAAAATCCCATTAAAATTTAAAAAGCTGTTGGTACGAACAATTTCTAAATTTGTTGTAAAAGGTTTTGCAAAAAATTTAAAAAGCTATTGGTACAAAATGTTTCATAAATAGTAATAAGGTTCAGCCGATTTTAAATCGCTGCTTGACCCCTTGGCCAAAATTGGACTTACTAATTAGACATTTTTTCCAGTTTCACAGAGTCAGAGTTAAGAGCAGGATTAATGCCCAACAGTGGAACGTATAAAAGGCTATTTAGGCTGTAAATTTACTTTTCCCATATTGTAGTTGTTAACAATTTCGAGAGTAATTTTACAATAAAAACTGGTGAAAATTTGGCATAAGCCTTAGATGTAGTATTAGTCTTTTCTCTCTTTGGTCTCTTAAGACCTATGTTGAAAGAAACAAACAGGCTTATTGAGCATAATGCTATAAATATTCTTCAAGGATGTTGTTTTAAATAAATTGTCGGCAAACCGAATGTGAGTGATTTTTTCACTATTGATGTTGATACTGTATCCTTTGTTTGAAGTGCTTAGGGGATTAAACATCACCAAGTGTAATACCTTTCCGAAACTGGATACGTTTCGTAGCTCAAGGACTAAACGATCTCTGTAAATTTCACAGTAGGCGTGGTACGCAGATTTGATCGTCACCGACACCAATGATATTGTTGACTACAATTTTATAGAATGTTGAGAATGTCCATAAAAGATAATTATTGAGTACCTAACATATAGGGTATTTTTATTTATTTTTATTTTTGGATGCTATAGCATTGGTAAAATATTTTTTATAAGTTTTAAGTTAATGCTTGACTAAAATCCCATCTGACGATGAATGATAAAAAATACTGGGTGATAAATCGCACTTACTTATGTAAGACTATTTAATCTTCTCTTAAAAACTTTTACGTCGTATTTGAACAGAAATAATGAAAATAGAAATATATATACAGAACCACTATAATACACTATACACACAGTATTTCGTTGTTGTTCACTCACTATCTACTTTAGTGTTCACAAATAACAAAAATATATATTTTAATACTTTGGATAATACCACTGTAAATATAATATATTAAAATAATACTAAAATTCGTTTTAATATTAAAATTAAAAAACGCTAAAGATTATATTGTAAAAAATAACTTGACCGTCAACGGGAGCAGCGTCAAAGGTGCGGGAAAATTATATGATCGATAGTTATACTAATGGATGTCGACAATCTGCCTGCCAAGAGTGATGTTTATAGCAAATCCTCCTTATAATGTTAACGACTTTTATCTAATTGTGCACTAGAAGTAGAACTGGAAGTAGAAACATACTACTTTATACTCGCTTATTATTTCAATAAAAGAAAAAAGAAAAGTAATAAATATAATAGTTACACTCCTGCAGTACGATAAGATCGTAGTACGTGCTTAAAATTTTAACCATAACATGAATCTAACTTTCGTGCACGTTTAATGGCCGAACTATTCTAATGTCTTCCTTGCTAACCTTTATTAAGTTTCTCCTTGTTTGATACTATATATTTTATTTAAATTTGAACAAAAAAGTATAGTTTTATTTCGTACAGAGTAGCAAAAGATAAAAATTAAAAAAGAAAACGTGAAAATTAAAAACAAACGAGTTGAATATCTCATCGACAGTATAATATATTTCTTAGCAATCATAGTCTTACACTGAATAGATAAACCCTTGCTTGGCGAACCTCTATTTTTTTATTGAAATTGACAACTCACTTATATGTTGTACTCTTATAGGTGCGGCTTCATCCACTTTGATTCAAAGTCATAATCAACAGGTGAGTCCATGGATATTTTTTTCTTCTCTTTGATCCAACTGTAATCATGATTAATTCTTTTATGAATGGGGTGAAAAACGAGCATACAGTACACCTAATGGTAAGTGGATACTATGGACCACTAACATCTATATATATCTTCGAATGAAAAACAAAATGCAGATGCGTTTTCACCCCTGAGAACTAAGATGGAATGTCTCGTTTCCAGTGAAAACAGTCTCCGTTTCTCTACAACCACAATACGAAACACAACAGCACTATGCTGCTATTTTCCATTGGTTTTCTGTGAGAGCGCTCTTTCACATAATATTCTTGTTTATTTTTATATATTTTCAAGATAAAACCATGACAGAGAGAGAGAGGTAATAAAGAGTACTACTCAAATGGCTATTCTCCGTTAGGACTGGCCGCTGTGGCTAAAATTTGGTCTCGAGAATATTATTGTCACAGAGGCGGTGAAATCTAATTATAAAATTAATACTATCCTGGTATGTACTCTTGATGTCAATTTAAAATCATAAGTAGATATCAGTGTACTTAAAACCTATAAAGTTATGTAAAATATTGAAATAATAACGTTATACTATAATCGCCATCAAAATCTGGTACACATGCACTACCTAATAAGTTAACCAAAGTTGGCTTACTTCGTATCAAACACTCCTAAATTATACTAGTTTTGAAACCTGAAAAAATATGTGTATTTTTTCCCGACATTAGTGGATTGAAGTGGCATAATAATTTCAAAATTATATATTAAAACATTACATATTAAAATAATTTAAGATCACTATACAGGTAAACAGAAGAGGGAAAAATATTTATGGACTCACCTGTGGATCATGGTTGTCGATTCAAGCGGACGGAGCGGATATAATTATAGCTACGTTATTTATATTAACATTGAATTTAAAATAAAATAATGTCTTTAATAAAAATGAGTCCCAGGGCGAGTCTTTGACGGTTAGCTTGGACATAGCAAAGGCCTTCAATGATACGAGTATGTTGCAAATCGATAATATTAATTGCTATGCACACACACGACAGCGCTGGTGATGCTTTTTATAACGGGCGAGCCTATATTTAAGGAAAACGTCGCCAAGTACGGGAACAAACTTGTGTCTGAAGTCGAGACTTTGTTGAATAGAGTGTCAGATTAGGGGCTACTAAATCTAATCCAATTCAATCTCAAGAAGACAAAATTTTCCGCTAATACATGTAAGAAATAACCCTGTGTCGTATCTTCTCAGTTTCAGGAAACTCCCTTTGCCTCAGCCAGTATCGGAAATCCTCGACGTTAACATATCGATTAACGTGCAGTTTCATGATCACTTGGAAGAGAAGGCTAAATTGACCTCTAAAAAAGTTACAGCACACCACCTGCAACTTTACAAGGCGCAGGTTTTGACCTCACATGAAACATAGTTCCTATCTCTAGGCTGGGACTCTCC